GTCAATGAGAGATAATGTCAATAGCGAGGAAAACAAGAGAGTCAAACATTACTATGCCTTTAGTTACCGAAATAATTTAAAATCATAGTAATACTACAGTAGTATATTTGATGCGAATTAGCGATAATTAAAAAGTACTCAATATTCCCCATATTTCAGCCGATTTTAGTGTGTTTTTGTTGCACTAAAGGATCTTAATGTGGCGACAATGCGACACATATACAAAGCCTGACTAATCATGTCGAGTCTGTGTAATTACTAAATTAACCAAATTGCTTTAAGGGTAAATTAGTCATTTCTACCAGATAATTAACCATTGGGATGGATTAAATAGCGTTATAATTGGTAGTTTATCTGCGTTTATATATGGGCTCGACACAGACGAACTACGACACTTGCAATAAACAACAAAAACTATTTATTTTAAGACACTTGTTAATATTTTGTTTAAAACGATTTATCTTGTTATTAAAACAAATACATATAAAATCAAATAAGTATATTTCGCTTTCGTCGTAAATCGATGCCAATTTAGACAAGAATACATGAAATCGATATATCTTACTACAATACATGATTTATTATAAATAAAATTATTACCACAACATGAATTAAAAACAATTAAGAAGTTTCTAATTTCGTATTGTAGTCTGTAACAAAAAAATTTAGGTTTTATTTATTTTTGTGCGGCCACAGTGAATTTTCCAATGAGTAATCGACACGTGTGATTCCAAGTGGGAACTATATACACACGTGGCAACGAAAAAAGTGGGACCCATATAACGCCACAGAAGGTAACAAATTGATGACGTGGAAATGGATGGGTGTGGGAAAAAAGCTTTTACGTTTCAGATGTCATATGTCACGCTTTTGTTATTTGAGATAATCGCACCACCAGAATTATTTCAATTCTTATAGAGATAAAATAATTAAGGAAACAAACAAATCGACCCATTTCATGTGATTTTTTGTTTTTCATTTAGTTTCGATTACTTTATTGTTAATTTATTATAACCATGCATAATTCACGACGACTAAATGGTGTGCACATACTTATATAAAGATAATAATTCCTAGGAGAGGTTTTTGTATGACTTTTGAGTTTTGACTTCTGACCTTGAATGATTCTCAAGACTTTTTAAAATACTAATTAGATAACAAAAAAAAAAAATTGTTGATAACAAAAAACTAGTAGTACGTACTTCTACTAGTTTATATTTACAACTATGATTTTGTCTAAAAATATTAATATCACTGGTTATAGTATGACTATTTTTAAATCTCAATTGATTTTTTTTTAAATTAGCATATTCCAATTTTTTTCCCCTTTTTAATGGGAGTTTTGGTTTAATAATCCAAAAAATTTATGTAATTTGAAAACTAACCTATGTTTCCAGGTTTTTAAAACTAATATTTTTACTTTAAAAAGGCAATAATTCTTTCATAAAATTTTAGAATTTATAATTATACATGAAATAGATTTGGATAAATTTTTGGCCATTGCTATTCTAAATGACCCTCTAACTAGCAACAACTTGTGCACCTCATGACTTTCATTTCTTTCGACATCTCATTGCACAGATCCAAGCTCTCTTATCCTCCTTCGAAGTTTGGAACATCCATGTGACAAACGCTATCAATCATACATTCCTCAAGAGACTCTATCACGGTTCTAGAATTCCAGTCTAGAGGCACCGATCCAAGACCACGACTGAAGCCATGCTTTTTGGAAAGAATCTTTCGTCAATTTCCTTTACCATTTTGAATGTTATCATAGTGGTTTACTTTAATTTGTCTTTGTGATTGAGACTACTTTATTTGATGATGCATTTTTGTGTCCATTTGTTTCCCTCATTGTAGTTATAAAAAGTGATACGATTACTTGTTAAAAAACCAGCAACAACTTTTTTTGGTCGAAATTTCATTTATATTAAAGGTTAAGACAAAACCGGATGCAAACCGGAATTGATTACATCAAGAGAAAGCAGGGCCGATTTGGCTAAGGCGTCCGCTTTAGAATTCAGATCTCTTTTGACAAAATTATAGGAGATAATTTGTAGATCTAAAGAGAGTGAATCGATATCATGGAGAATTCCATAGATTTCGATGTTTTTGGTTTTTTTTGTTTATCAGGTTGATAAGAGTTTGAGCATCTGAGATCACCCTAAATCGGTTCAACCCTTGTCTCTTCGCTTGCAGGAGGGCCTCTCGAACTGCAATTGCTTCAGCCATCATGGGCGAATTGACATGATTTACAACGTTTGATCTTTGGGAGAGGACTCGATCTGTATTGTCCTTGATGATCCATCCAAGACCTGCGATTTTTGACTCTTTTCTCCAAGCTGCGTCTATATAACATCGGAGAGTTTTTTCGATCGGTTCGATCCTCCCATCACGCGGGGGGGAGGAGGAGATGTAAGCAGTACCGTTTTTTGGGACAAGAGCCATTTCCGAGCGTCCTGCATAGTTTTGTGGATGGTATCCTCCGGCGTGAAATTTCTATTGGAGAAGATCTTGTTGTTTCGAGCCAACCACAGATTCCAGCAGAGTCATGGGAAGATTGGACCAGAGGCAATTCCGGTTGGTGGTAAACAAATCATTTGTTTTGAGGCATTAAAACCACTCAACATATTTGTGAACTCCAGAGAATTGATTAGTGTTTTCAGGGGAGCGAGCTTCTAAACCTCTTGAGCATATGGGCAATGGAAAAGGAGGTGAGTAGTTGTCTCAAACTCTCCACATCTGACGCAGGATGATTGTTCCAAGATTCCTCTCGAAGCTAGTTGTGCTCCAACAGGTAGAGCTCCATTCATTAGCTTTCAAAGGAACGTTTTTAGTTTTGGTGAGGTGTTGATTTTCCAAATTTCCTCATTCCATTTGAAATCTGTATTTTGGCCTTGTTCTGTAGTGATCAGAGCCGCTTCCTTTGCTTTGTGGTAACCCATTTTTACTTGGTAGGTGCCAGAGGGACGTCCA